TAGTGTAGGCCTATTCGACCATAATCGTTATTGAAAATTTGAGCAAAACTACTAATATTTTTCTTTCTATATATAAAAAAAACTGTTTCCAATTTTTTTTATTGTTTACACAAAGCTCGTCAATAGCTACTAAACAAAAAAATGAAAATCCGATGACAAATAGAGGAGATAAAGGTATTGAACTGTTTTAACTTTGCCTATTTATCTATACAATATTATAAAGAGGTAAAGTTTGTGAGTTTGTGAGATTGTGAATTTGTGACGTTGTAGAAGGTGTTCTCTGGATCTACTGAACCGTTTTAGATGAAATTTGGTAAGAAGATAATTTGAGACCCAGGGAAGGACATAGGATACTTTTTATCAGAAAATCATCCCTTAAGAGGGTTAAAATGGGGATGAAAGTTTGTATGAGGCATCAAGCTAAAGACGAACCCGACCGAAACGAGGGTGAGTCGCTAGTATATAGATAACTTAAAGCATCAGCCCCATAGTTTAATGGTAATTTGTAATTATAAGATATTTATGTTTGCATGAATTTAATACAGTTTACGAAAAATGGTCACGCATGAACTACCACCCGTTAAAATTATTCAAAAATTCTGCTTTATATTCGTTCGACTGAGCAGTTCCCATCACTGTATCAGTGAACACACCGCAAAAGCTATGCAAGCAAGTAGTTAATCATAATTATAAAAGCTGTTTAAGTTGCGGTCGCATTACGCTATCAATTACCTTTTATACTACGCTAGCGTTTTCCTGCGGCTTCGCCCGCACAGTACATTAATCACCAACATATCATATACTAAAACCTTCTCCGAAACACGCTGCATCTTATGGTATGAGTATTATTCCGATCGGTTCAGTAGTTATCGCAGTATAACCGAACAAAAAAATCGGCTCACCATTTAGATGTACTCGTAGAACAAGGAAACCATATCATGAACGGATCGTTTCAGGCGAAAACCTCAGTTATGATATATAATACTACTGTATTCATCTCGCAGTTACAGATTATGGAGACCGCAGATTATGAAGTCCTGAGTTAAGGTTCCAAGATTTTCTTAACATGTACTCAGTAACAGTGTACAACACACTCGTGTTTCGAAGATCTCTAGAAGCTCAGTCCAACGGCTCATTTCTCTTCGATCTTGTTGATCGGTCGTTAGTCGGTTTACCAGAATTAACAGTAAAAAAATTTAAGAGTACATTTGTGTATGTGCACACACTTGTGCACTTTAGTATCTCCTGCACAAAAGGGTTTGTATATTAACACGCTTTTATTTGGGTTTATTATTATTTAATTAAATAACTGAATTTAGCAGTCGATTTTAACTTCGAGTACTTTTGCCGTTTATCTACCTACTTTTTATGTATTCCTTTTCGTGATACTCCGCTTAACATTATTCTGATAATAACTTGTTTTGTTTGAATGAAATGCATATTATACACATTTCATTCATATTAAAATTATTTACTAGAATTATATTCGTTTAAATGGTTAGCATGGAATAGATAAACTATATATTTTAAATATATACATAGATATGACGAGTCTTTGTGGGTTGTAATATAACGTGTTAACCCGCGAAAATGAGATAATCTCGGGCGGTAAAAAGTAGCCTATGTCACTCTCCAGTCCTCCAACTATCTCTACACAAAAAATCACGCCTAGCACTTTGTTTCGATGTGAAAGAAGATCAAACAAACACAATTTCACATTTATAATATTCAATAATATAAAGTTAAAGTAATCAGGTATGTAGATACCCTACTGACATAAAATACATCCATACTGTGTTTGTGAGCTGAACTATAAATTTTAACGCATTTTTAAACAATATGACTGATATATTTTTTTTAATATGTAAAAAACGAAAATAACAAGCATAACCCGTAACTGAATCAGCCGCTTTAATTAAATAAGGAATGCGGTCATAATTACCATGAAAACAAACAAATGCGAACACGATAAGAAATATATTTTTGTTCCGATAAAATCAGAAATATTAAAAAAACATATGGGCGCATTTACATAGTTATTATGTCGACATTTTCATATCTAAAACTTTTTTTACCTAAGAAGAAGTTAGGTATAATTTGTAGATATTTTTATTACATTTTTAAACGAATTCCATAGGAGGAGGTTCTCAATTCGTCGTTTTTTTTATGTCATAATGTAATAAATAAATAATATATTGTTTCAAAGGTCCCATATAAATTTTATCGAAATCGGTCGAGCGGTTTTTTGAAAAATCTACAACAAATTATTTTTTTAAATAAATTGTTTAATCGAATATGTTGTTAAAATACTTTCTTCTTACAAATTATCTGCTTATTACGTATACACTAAAAATGGAAGAATAAAAACTTAAAAAAAAATAGAAACCGACTCCCAGGCACTAAAATGTAAAGAATAACTAAACGGGGGATTTCATTTAGAATAGATACCTAATCAGATATTTTCGAAGTCGGTGCCAGCCGACAATATTTTAAGATATGAACATCTAATAGATAAATACGTATTTTACGTATCAAATATCTATATTAGATTTGCTTTACATGTCTTAAACTTACTTTCTGTCATGCACGTAATGTTTCTGAACTTTAATCACATTTGTACATGACTTGTTTTATGCACATATGTAAGTGTGTAGGTCAATTACCTTGGGTCGATGTAATTTTTTTTTTCAAAAAGGAGGAGGTTCTCAATTCGAAAGTTTGTATCTAATATATAAAATTTCCATGTCACAATGTTAGTTACCGTACTCCTCCGAAACGGCTTTACCGATTTTTACCAAATTTTATATGCGTATTCAGTAGGTCTGAGAATCGGCTACTATCTATTTTCCATAGTGATAAAGGTGGTCCACCCAGAGCCCACCCCAGGGACGAATCCGAGCGGGGCGAGGGTGAGTCGCTAGTTTTTTTATATATGTTCGGGCATAACTCCGTCATATATAAACAGATTTGCAAAAATCTTTTTTTGTTCGAAAGAATTTCATTCTGAAATGGTCCCATTTAAATTTGAAAAAAAAATCCACCCCTAAGTGTATAAAATAGGGATGATTGATTTTTCACCTACTGAATTTTTAAAATACTTTCTTCTTATTTTGCTTCTACTATAGCTTACACTAAAAATGAAAAAATAAAAACTTTTTAAAAAATAAATAAAAACAGACTTCAAAAAAAAACATTGAAAAGTAAAAAAAATAACTGATTGGTAGTTTTCATTTACTATAGTTACCTAATCAGATATCTTAAAGCAAAACGACTTCGAAAATATCTGATTAGGTATCTATAGTAAATGAAAACTACCAATCAGTATTTTTCTTTTACTTTTTAGGTTTTTTTTATTTTATTTGATTTTTTAAGTTTTTAATTCAATATTTATATGAATTTTACTAAAAATTATATCAATAATAATGCGTTAAGCAAAAAATACAGAATGCACTTATATAGGACATTTTCATCTAAAGTTATTTTTAAAGCACACTATGACAAATACTTTTTTACCGTCGCCTTTGGGAATATCAACACGCATCGAATATTGCGGGAAATATTTATGATATTTACGATTTATTCGCAAAATTCATCGGTATGTTTGTTAGCATTTATATTAACGTTAGTAAGTACATAACAAAGCATTAAATATTTTAAAACAAATTTGAAAATTACTTATTGTTAAATACACCTGTTCGTAATAATTTTTGTGATTTCCAATAACGAATTATTAATAATTCAAAACGATGTAGCCCACAGCGAAAGCCTTTGTACCATATGGACCCATCCATCGATCACCGATAGAATACTTAATCATTTTATTTAAATATTTAAATGTGTATTTTATTGCTCCTAAATCACTATCGATCTAGGTGTATTGAATATGAATGGGTCTACGAGTGTTCTTAACCAGTTAGAATCTTTTATTATTAAAACTTAAAGCGTTAAGCCTACATTTTTATATTAAACTAGATGATCCGACAGACGTCGTTCTCTCAAAAGGTATTGGACTGTGGCAGTGCCACAAACTTACAGATTTTTGTTTTTCCGTGATTATGTTTCAATTTTTCTCATCATAAGAACCGTCCTCAGACTTCTACGAATATTACACATTTAGCCATTCATATTTATTTATAAGATATACCTGACGCATAAGAGGGAATCGTCCAAGGAATTTTGTTTTTGAGCCAGGAACCTCTGCAGGCGTATACAGAATAACCACCAGAGTTTCCATCACAATCGGATCAGTGGATTAAGAACGCATAGAGGACACACATATGAATATTCATTTTTATTTATATACATATATCTAATATCTACAGACGATAGATATAAGAGTGCGTCCCTTAGTGACTTTTGTACTTAGAACACTATATACAGGCAGCGCTTCATTCCGACAATCAGTTGATCTCAGAACCTGCCAGTTATATATGCCTATTAAATTTTTTTTTTATATTTTACAGTCTATTTATTAAAGAAGATATAGGCTACCTATTATTATGCTAACCATAGGAAAGGAGGGATTATATATAAATTACGCATTAGACTAAGTACGGTATGGATGGATCATTGACTGTGTGGAAGAGGTTAGTGCCCGATTTCACCAACATCACTTAAGCTACCACCTACGTATGGGCTAGCTTAAAAGTTCCCCTAAACTAGCCCCTAAATTAAATTTCGTTTTACCATTGTCAGAGCCCGTATTTCTAGTACCTTTATTTAGGGGGCATTTTAACATTAAGGTGACCCCTAACTGCCGGTGAAACAGAAACTGTCCCCTAACAGCCCCCTAACCATGCTTAGGGGATCCTTAAACTTAAGTAACGTTGGTGAAATCGGCCATAAGAGATTTAGTGTGTGAAAGGTGTTTGTACTGAGAAGACGGCTTATCGAGGGAAATGGAAGAAGGAACATGTTGTGTCGATCCCACTTAATGTGGGATAAAGACTAGAAGAAGAAATTACGCATTATTCAAAAAATTATGTTTAAATTATAAATACCTGATTAGTAGTAAGATCCCACTGGTCAGCTACGAAGGATTGCCTGCTGTAAAGGAACACAGGCACTTGGTGGTCCTTCACTGGCGCCGGGTCGCTGTTGACGCGCACCACCGTCAAATGAGTCGTCGTTGTGCCGACTGTTGACAAGTTATAGACATAATTAATAATGCTATACACATTTTAATGGCGAATGGTATAGGATGTATGTATGTATTCAACCCTTCTTAACGTCCCACTGCTGAGCACGGGCCTCCCTTCAATATGAGGGGGATCAGGCCATAGTCCACCATGCTAGCCAAGTGCGGGTTGGCAGACTTCACATGTCTTTCGAAAACTTGCTAGGTTCTCTCAGACCTGCAGGTTTCCTCACGATGTTTACCTTCACCGTAAGGCAAGTGGTAATCATGTTGAAAATAATTCGCACATGAAAATATCAGAGGTGCGAGACCCGGGATTTGAACCCGCTTCACTCGGTTACCCAAGCGAGCGCGTCACCAGTGACCGGGCTACCACTGCCTTTTAATATGATATGGTATAGGATAGCATTTCAAAACTCTAGATTTCCACAATTTTCTTGTTACCCGTTTAAAAAGGACAAAATTTATATATCAATAGCGACTCAATCTCGCTTCGCTCGAATTCGCCCCTAGGTACCTTTTAACAGTTAGTATGGAATAGTTAGTCGATCGCTTGCTCTGTGAAAAACAAAAACAAATCTATCCCATGGAAACCGCACATTTTTCCGGGATGAAAAGTAACTTATGTGCTATTCCAGATTATATTATATCTATGTGCCAAATTTCATCCAGATTCGTTCAGCCGTTCTAATGTAATTAACAAACATCCATCGATCCAGACTTTCACATTTATAATATTAATGGGATTTAGGGTTTTTTAATTTAAATGACACCACTCTCAATAGTAAATTCAATTAAGAGTAATCAATAAAATCTGTTTAGAATCGACGATGAATATTAAAGTATTTATTTATTTACTATATCTAAACACTTAATACAAAATATAGAAAAACGTTTAACATTTGAAGATGTCACAACATTATAAAGGCAGAGGTTGTTTGTCTGTTTGTTTGAACGCGCTTATCTCAGGAACTAATAATCCGATTTGATAAAATATTTGCATGAAATAGCCCGTTTACTGAGGAAGGCTATAGGCATGGCTAGATTATCCTGGAAAAATGTACGGTTTCCGTGGGACAGATTTGTTTTTGTCTAGGGATGAATCCGAAGAGAAGCGAGGGTATGTCGTTAGTATAATATGTTACATAACATACACGAGACAATAGAATTGAAAACGTAAGTGTTGATAAAATTAATTGTAACTTTCCAAAAGTTAGTAGATAAAAATTTTGTTTTATACTTTTTCACTGTTTGGACATGAGACTGACCGACATGATATTTTTTATAAATAGCCGTATCGTATTGCTATGCCCTATCCAAGCATTTAAAATGATGCGTGTTAAATTCTTTGAATGTAGCCTGTAGAGTAGCTTTTTCTTAGCAGATTAAGATTATATGTTTTGCTCTCTTAGGTATTAAATGAGAAAGAATAAAATATATATTTATCAGGCTTCTCTATATAAAAATGATATATTAAAATATATATCATTTATATATACATATAAATATTATTTCCATATTCTGGCAACGATTTGGCCAGCGCAAGCCGGTAAAGAGACCATTTAGCGCATCTTACTCTAAGATGGTTTGCAAATATTAATATTAAAACAGAAAAACTTATTTAAATTAAAATAAAATATAGCCTATACCCGTCAGGGATAGTGTAGCTTTCTATTAGTAAAAGAATTTTTGGAATCAGTTCAGTAGTTCCAGAGTATGTAGGGAACAAACAAACAAAGTTTACCTCTTTATTATAGTATAGATAACGGCAATCCATTATTACATATAACATTTACAGAAAAAAATACAAACGAATTGAGTATATATATAAAAACGAAAATATCTTCATATTTTCAATTTTAGTAAAAACAAGCAACTCGTACACCTAGACTATTCAAAACATGTCTTGCAAGTTGAGATGGTTAAATATAAAGATAGATATATTTGATTACGATAGTACGAGCTCAGCATAACCTTAACTAGGTTATTCATATTTCATAGCATTAAACTAAGCATACATTCATATCAACATGGTGTCACCAAGAGCTGATAAGTTTGATAAAAATAATATTGTGTTTATAGTGCAAAAGCTATGCCAATCTGACTACTGTGCGATATGTATGTTTGTTATTCCTTTAAGCTATAACGGCTAGACGAATTTGGATAAATTTAATACACAGATAGTGCACCTGGAGTAACATATAGGTCTCTCCCATGACCATGATTGCTGTAAAGCATTCGAAACTTCGAGAACCAAAAATATAAATAAATCCGCAAAAAATCCGAAAAGATAGTTTTATTTAAATATAGCGACTCACCATCGCTCCGCTCGGGTTCGTCTCTACTTACGTTTTAACGTTTAGATTTCTCAGAGATATTTTCCCGCAGTAAAAAATATCCTATATGTTGACCCGGATAAACAGCTATCATCATACCAAATTTCATCAAAATCTGTCCAGTGGTTTTCTCGTCATGCGGTCACAGACAGACACACCAGAATTCAAAAAAGTACAGATTATGCCTCTGTATCGATAATAATGACTATTTCAATAAGATATTCAAAAAATATTTAATGTACAGATTGGACTCAGTTAGAATTTTATTATATGAATTTTATAAATGTCAAATATTCTCGTAAATCTAAGAAAGCATTACATAGGTTACTGTTAGGCACTTAGGGACGCACCCGAACGAAACAAGGGTGAGTCGCTGGTAACTTTCTTCTATTAGACTGAAATCGCTTTACAGAGCAATTTTGCAACGAACACGATGACATTGAGTTATCACGACTCAATGTTGGCTTATCAGTTTGCTTTATATCTAGTTATATAATTTTTAGCAAATTAATATTTCGCCGTCGTTATATTGAGAGTCAATAACTCTATTTACAACTCTTTTAATATTATTTGTACCCAATAATTGGAAGGAATTATAGAAAATAGGCAAAAAAAACGTACGATCATATATAATTAATATAAACACAATTAAATCCTTTAAGCAAAGCCTTTTCCTGTAAGCCAGGAGGCTAAAAAATAAAGATTAAAAGGGTTTGTAACCTTATTTTTAAATTTGATTGATTTTTAAATTAAACTAACTTTTTCTTAAATCTGTGTATCTAAACGCTTATCAAATTTCAAAGAATGCTACTTCCTTTAGTTTCTAACATGATTATTAATCGCCTTACGGTGAAGAAAAACATCGTTAGGAAACCTGCATGTCTGAGAGAACCTAGCAAGTTTTGGAAAGACATGTGAGATCCGCCAACCCGCACTTGGCCAGCATGGTGGACTATGGCCTGATCCTCTCGTATTAAAGGGAAACCCATGTCCAGCAGGGGGACGTTAAAAAGGGCTGAATACATACATACATACATACATACATACATATATACATACATACATACATACATACATACATACATACATACATACATACATACATACATATATACATACATACATACATACATACATACATACATACATACATACATACATACATACATACATACATACATACATACATACATACATACATACATACATACATACATACATACTTCCTTAAGAATATAAATAACTTCATAATTACAAAAAAAAACAACATATTTTGATGGATAGATGATAAAACCGTATTAATATTCTCAATTGGCACAAACAATAACGTGTTAGAGAAACTAAAGTATAAACAAAAATCACATTGTATAACTGATTAATGTTTATCGTGTAATTTGATACTGTATGTAGTGCGGCTTATCTAGACACGTCTGGTGTTTTATCGCTATTTACTTTATCTTTGTTTGGGACGATTTACTCCAAATATGTTATATATTTTTGTTTTATTCGTGGATTTTCATTAGACAGTCGTCACCAAGCACGATATGAAAAACTTAAGATAAGCAATGCCTCATAATGCTATAATGAAATAAGTTACTATGCAAGAATTATTACATTATTCGCTTTAACGTTACTAGCATAGAGTATATTGCTACATATGTTACTAGCGACCTACCCTAGCGAGGCTAGGGGCCGTTCCTAGGAGATTTTTGAAGTGCGGCGACACGTTCCCTGAGGTCGTTGTAGCTTCCCTGAGCTTCTAAATGAATCCTTTATTATATCAACTCATGTATTTGAAAACGGAAACCTAAACCTAATATTTCGCTATTTATTTTGTATTTTATAGCAATTAAAAACTTATAGCGATACTAACATTCTACTTTCACTACTTACACATTTTCTAATTGATATTGAAGTCAAATTATCTACACGTTGGAATATCATTTGAATTGAAAAAAAATATGTTTGTTTTTGAACATAACAGTTTTTTAATTAAATAAGGTGCATACTTCTAAATGAACAGATCATCAAGAAAGCCTAATATTATATTTATAAAAAATCAAGCTACAAGGCTAGATATGTTTCGTCTTATCTCAATTGATATGCTGTTGCTATGTTAATTAAAATGTAAGTAAATCGTATAATTTGTGCCTTGGGTTTGTTTGGTTACTAAGTGGAACTAAAATACATGACAACTTGCTCTGCCAGCGGTCGCGCGTTCGATTCCCGCTGGGGGCATTCATTTGTGTGATAAGCACATATGTTAGTACTCCAGTCATAGGTGCTTATATTTATAATATGTACTAGCATTGCCCGCGGCTCCGCCCGCGTTCAGATGACCAAAAACTAAATTCTTAGGTGTTACATATTAGTATACTCTTACATTGCAGTTTTTGTATTTTTCCTCAGAAATAAGATATTTTCCCGCGGTAACCTAGGATCGCGCGCGCTACATCGCCCGGTTTATATAGCTTGAGCAGGCGGTCGAGCGATGCGGGGCAGAGGGGATGGACTCGCCGTAGGCATCTCAATGCTCGCCAAGCATTAAAAATGTTTCGCTACTAATTACTTCTAACAACGATATCTCAAAAACTATTCATCTGATTGATTTAGTGTAAAGAGCAATTTTAATCTGCATTAAATGACTAAGCTAACTAAAATATT